AGGACTCACCATACAGTCTTCCATAGTATCTGCACCATTTTTACATTCCCTTCAACACAATGTGAGCAGAACTGTCATGTGTCTCTTCTTGGAAGGAGCTAAAAAGCCAGTGAGCATGTCACCACATCTTCCTTCCCCTTCTTCTGTGATTAGACGTGGAGTGGGCTTCTTCCCTCCACCTCACTCCCCTGACCTCCCTCCACTGACAGCAGGAGACGTGCATCGTGAGCAAGCAGCAGACCTTTGCTGTTGAAGGCTCCTAAAATGTGGTTGTTGTTTGTTACTGAAGGAGAACCTCGCTATCCTGCTGACACAGAAGCTATAAACTTCTGCAAAGACCCAGAAGAGACTGAGAAGGAAGACCAGCCACTGGTAAGAAGGAACCGCAGGATTGGTGGGCTGCTCCAGCTCCGAGATTCAGTGTGCCGTGCTCATCCCAAGGCTGCAGACAGGCCTGAGGTGCCCTCCATTCCTTGCAGCAACTCCTCACGGGAGCCTGTTTCTGAAGCTGGTCTGCAGCCCCACAGGCCAGGCCCTCGCATAGGAAACCACCACTAACCAGGGGCCATAAGCCATCCTTCCAAAGATTCTTAAAACACATTATTAAGGTGGACAGGCCAAAACTGGTTTTGCTCAGTGGATAGAGTGTCGACCTGCGGACTGAAAGGTCCCAGGTTCGATTCCGGTTAAGGACATGTACCTTGGTTGCGGGCAAATCCCCAGTAGGGGGTGTGCTAGAGGCAGCTGATCAATGATTCTCTCTCATCGATGTTTCCAACTCTCTATCCCTCTCTCTTCCTCTGTAAAAAAATCAATAAAATATATATTTTTTTTTTTTAAAAAAGAAAAAGGTGGACAGAAAGCAAACACCATTTTTGTTGTTAATCCTCACCTGAAGATATTTTCCCCTTTGATTTCTAGAAAGAATGGAAGGGAGAAGAGACAGAGAAAAACCCATGTGAGAGAGACACATTGATTGGTTGCCTCCCACATGCGCCCCTGGGGGAAGAGGGGATGCTGGGACATCTGCAATCTAGTTACGAGCCCTTGGTGGGAAATTGAACCCTCAACCCTTCAGTCCTCAGGCCAATGCTCTAACCACTGAGCAATTGGCCAGGGCCAAACATCATTTTTTTAAAATAAATTTTTATCGTTCATATTATTACAAATGTTCCTTCCCCCACTCCCACCATTGCTCTCCTCTACCAGGTTCCCACTCCACCCTCTGCCCTTTCCCCACTCCCCATTGTCCTCATCCATAGGTGCACAGTTTATGTTCAGTCTCTTCCCACATCCCCCTCTCCCCTTTTCCCCAAGAATCGTCAATTCACTCCCCTTCCATACCTCTGATTCTATTATATTCAACAGTTAATATTGTTCATCAGATTTTTTTTAATTCCCTTGGTTTTTAGATTCACTTGTTGATAGTTACGTATTTGTTGTTCATAATTTTTATCTTTATTTACTTTCTCTTCTGAAAGAACCCCCTTCAGCAATTCATATAATTCTGGTTTGGTGTTGATGAACTCCTTTAGCCTTTTTTTTTTATTAGTGAAGCTCTTTATCTGACCTTCAATTCTGAGTGATAGCTTTGCTGGATAGATTATCTTTGGCTGTAGGTTCTTACTTTTCATCACCTTGAATATTTCTTGCCATTCCCGTCTGGCCTGCATGGTTTCTGTTGAGAAATCAGCTGACAATCATATAGATGTTTCTTTATAGGTAGACTACCTTCTTTGCTCTTGCTGCTTTTAATATTCTCTTTATCTTTTGCTCTTGGAATTTTAATTATAATGTGTCTTGGTGTGGTCCTCTTTGGATTCCTTTTGTTTGGGGTTCTGTGCACTTCCTGGACTTGTAAGTCTAATTCTTTCACCAGGTGGGAGAAGTTTTCTGTCACTATTTCTTTCAGTATGTTTTCGATATCTTGCTCTCTCTCATCTTCTGGGACCCCCATAATTCTGATGTTGGTTCGCTTGAAGTTGTCCCAGAGGTTTCTTACATTATCTTCAATTTTCTGGATTCTCTTGCCTTCTAGCTTCTGCGGAGGAGTGTCTTCTGGCTCTTTATGTTCCAACTCTTTGACTTGATTCTTGCGATCTTCCATTCTGTTTTTAAGACTCTGTATAATATTTATTTCAGTCAATGTATTCTTTATTTCTTGTTGATCCCTTATCATTTCTTGTTGATCCCTTATCATTTCTTGTTGATTCCTTATTAATTCTAGTTGATCCCTTTTCATATCCTAATAGGTCTTATCCATCTTTTCTAGGAAATTCTTGAAAAACCTTATAAGCATAGATTTGAACTCTATATCCAGTCGCTTTTTGTCCTCCATTTCTTTCGGTTGTGATCTATAGTCTCGGCATTTTTGCAGCTTTCCTGAGTTGGTAGCCTTAAAAGTCTCTGTGTTCTGCTTGGATGGGGCGGGGTTTCAGGGTGGAGCCTGCAGCTTTGGCTTCCATCAGCCCCGCCCTATACGGGTCCTTCAGTATTATTGCAAGCACCTCTGAGAGAAAGGTGCCCTTGATTTCCGCCTGCTGCCAAACAGTCTATGCTCTCCCCCAATGAGCCCGGTATTGGGGTTCAGTTCAGTTGGAAGTGGAGTTGGAGGTGGTTTTCAGAGCAGTCTGGAGTCCCAGTCTCCTTCCCACCAGGGCAATCCCGCCGCACAGCCAACCGTCCCTTCTCTGCGCTCAATGTGCGCGCCATTGGGACCTCCTTTTGCCACTTCCCGGGGTTCCGCCTCGCAGCCCAGCTCCCTCTGTGTGAGCCTGGGTCCCCGGGGTCTGGCCTAGAACTGGGGTTCAGAGCAGTCAGAACTGGGGCCCAACACAGTCGGAGTTTTATCTCCTTTCCGCTTGGGAACACCAGCCAGGCACTCAGCCTCTCTCCTCTCTGGCTCCGTCCTTTCCGCGCGCACCGTGTGTCTCCATACCTCAGGCTATTACAGCTCTTCCGCGCTTCCTTCTGGTTTTCTCCTTGCTTCTTGTTGTAGAATTTCCAGTCAGTCGACTTTCCTGTAGTTCTGGGTAATGTCCATTTTATATTTTAGCTGTATTTTATTGAAATTGTTGTGTGCAGCTGCGGCTAGGTGTTTACCTGTCAGCCATCTTGGAATGACTCCTCCCAAACATCATTTTTAAACAAAAATAAAGGGGCTCATGGGTGCTGTATTCCCTGAGTTCACTTATGTCTGAGAAGGTCTGAATATGGTCTTTTAAAATTGAAAAAATTTTTTTATTGATTTTAGAGAGGAAGGGAGAGGGAGAGAGAAAGATTAATGATTAGAGAATCATTGATCAGCTGCTTCCTGCATGCCCCACACCCTCAACCCAGACATATGCCTGGCCAGGAATAGAACGGTGACCCCCCTGGTTCATAGTGTGACAACCACTGAGCCATGTTAGCTGAGCTGGTCTTTTTTTTAAATCATTTTTTATTTTCCAATTACAGATTACAATATTATACGTCCTTTTTATTTTCCAATTACAGATTACAATATTATACTTACTGACCAGCAACTTTCTCTGACAGAGAAACCATACCATCAAGTCTTTTGCAAGACCCTTTTCCAGGTAGAAAGGGCAGTATGAAGGCAGTTCCGTTTGCTTTGCAGCTGAGGTTAGGAGGATCCCTCCAAAACTGGCAAGAGGCGGCTGGGCAGAATGCAGCGCCTACCACCTCAGATTGCAGGACCTCAGACAAGTGGAGAATGGGCGCCCCCTAGGAGCGATGCTCGGTAGTGGATGCTGGAGGACCAGATTGAGGTGGGGGTGAGGGGAGAGAATGAGGTGCAATTGGGGATAGCCTGCCCCCCAGGAGCGAACTTCTAGTATGATGGATTCCTGGGATCTCAGAACAACTGGGCTAAAACGTGCCCCATGTCAAGCCCTGAGCTGGGAACTTTCGTGACCATTGTCTTTAAACTCCTAACTCTGATCGGAGGTAGGTATCATTATCCCCATTTTTCAGAGGTGAAAACCGAGATTTAGTGACTTCCAAAGGAGGGGCGGGGATTGTGCATGATCTCAGAGCCTTTTTCCTGAAACCCTCACGACTTGACTGCTTCTTTGTGCTTTGGGGGAACAAGCATCGGATATGAGATGAACAAGATTTCCAAGGGTCAACAGCATGGCAGTACTTTCAGCCTGAACCACCCCTCCCTTGTCGCGACAATACTAATTTGCTTTCCTTTAAGAGCCGCCCCAGAAATATTAAGTCCTCGCCACACGGGGAGGCGGACATGATATATTCTTGGATTGCCCATACTTCCTTCTCCCTCGCCTGCACCGATCCCCACTAGTGACATAAATCCTCCCCTTCCACTAGCGAGTGAAGGTGTGGGACTACATTTCCCGGCAGATCACTGAGAAGGGGCAGCAGAGAGAACAACTCCAGGTTGGCTGTTCGCTCACAGCTCGGCTGGGATGCGGTAATGCACTTTCCTGCGGCCCACGTCCTTTCTCTAAAGAAGCCCAAGGACTACATCCCCCAGCAAGCCTTGCCACAAAGGGAGCGCGGTAAGCCGCCATCTTTGCTGTAGTCCTTTTCCCGGTTTCTGCAAGATGTAGCCTTAGGGCGTAGACTACAAATCCCAGGTCCTTGTCTCCCCTTCCCTTCGGTCGCCATTTTTGCAGACAGTCCCCGCCCCCTTTTATTTCCATTGTCTGGACCGAAGATAATAGAAGAGACGGGAAGACTTCAACTCCCGCCAGGCTCTGCGCCGCCGGGAGGGGGTTTCGATATCACAGGCGGGCGAGGTGCTCAAGGTGGTAGCATGAGGCGACGGGAAGAGGCTAGGTAATCTGCCATCTTTGTGGTAGTCTCCTTAACCTCCCAGGCTCGTCATTCTTAAGGAACACTAGCAACCTAGGAAAACTACTATTCCCATCGCACCTCATGAGTTCGACTACTAGTCAGGTTGTACGCCCCTCTTCAGCCATCTTGTTTGTAGTCCTCGTTCCTTTTCACCTTTCCATTGTTCCTGAGAAGTAGAAATGGCAGCGGGAAGGCAGCAGACGGACTGCGACTCCCGTCAGGTACCACACACGCGGAGGGTTGTGGACAGGAGGGCGTGTGAGTGCCTGGGAAGGAGGTCGGGCCGGGGAAGAAGGCCATCTTGTTTGTAGTCATCGTCCCCACTCCCTCTGTATGCTCTGCAACGGGGAGCCTCCGGGCCACTGGACTATAACTCCCGGCATCCTCAGCTCCAAATTTGGCACGCCCTCCGCCATCTTCTTTGTAGTCCCCGTTAACCCCAGCGCCCCATTGTTCCCGCGGTAGCACCAGTGCCTGCAGGACTACGACTCCCGTCGTTCCCTGCGCGCGCTCGTCCTGGCAAGCGGAGCGGTGAGGGAAGGAGGCGGCAGGGGGCGGGGTTCCTCTGGGAGAAGGAGGGAGTAAGGAGGAGGAGGAGGAGGGAAGGAGGAGGGACGGGAGGGGGAAGAGAGGAGGAAGGAGGAAGGAGCTCTGGAGGGATGAGAGAGGCGGCCAGGGCCCCGGGCCGAAGCTGCGCGGGGCCGGGGGACCAAGGGGGCTGAGGCACCCCGATTGTCCCCTCCCCGTTTCCCTACCTCCTTCCATCCTTTCCTTCCAGCCTTCTGCTTGAGGAAGGGGATTTATTCAAATTTTATTTAAATCCCTCTCTCTGGAGGGTCGCGCGCTGGGGGAGGGGGAAAGGGCGGGGGCGTACGCAGGCTGGGGGGGCGGGGCCGGAGCAGCTTCCTTCACCCCCCTCGGTTCGCCAGATAGTGGTGGGGCAGGGGGCCGCAGTCTAGGGGAGGACCCAGGGGAGGGGGGCAGGTTACAGGGACCCCCCCCTCCCCGGGAACCGGTGGTGGGCGGGGCTTGAACCCCGGAAACGGTGGGGGTCCCGGGCCGGGCCCTAGACCCCTGGGCAGTGGGGGCCGGGAAGGGGCCAGTTAAAGGGTTGGGGCGCTGGGGAGAGGAGGGGGAGGGGAACGGAGACTCGGACCCCGGACTGAGTGGGGCCCGGGCAGAAGCTGAGCACCCTGCGCCCGAGGAGCCCCCGTTGGCCTGGGGGGGCTGAGGGCCTGAGCCCCCCAGAGCAGGACCTCCCCCTGGAAGGGCCGCGCCGCAGCCCGTGGGAGGGCCTCGCCCCCGGCGCCCCCCATCTCCACTCGCCGCCGTCCCGGCCTCCGCCGGAGGGAGGGGCCGAGCGCCCTCGGGGGGCCGTGGACCCCGGCGTTCTGAGCGTTCCGCGCCCCGCGCCGCCCGGCCCCCCCGCCGCCGATGGCCGCCGACCCGCCGGGAGCTGCCGAGAAGGGAGAGATGGCTCCCGGGACACGTGTGAGGTGGGTTCGTGCGGCTCCTCACCCCCAGACCTGGGCAGCTCCCACTCCCATTCATCCTCAGCCCGGCCTCTCTACCTTCCCCGCCCCCAGCCTCACCCTCTCTCCGCTCCCAACTCCTCATCTCCAGTCCTTCATCCTGTTACCTCTCCGCCCTGGGGAGCTGGCCTTCCTTCCTCGATTCTGCTTCCCCTCGCAGACCCCCATCCCTGCCTGCAGTTGCCGCCCTCTAGGCCCCTCCCCTGGAGCGCTGGAGGGCCCCTTCCCCACCCCCATAGATGGGTCTGGAAGTCCCTGGAAAGGGGGAAGCTGGGGTAAGACCGGGGCCATGAAGAGACCCTCCAGGCCTGCTGGGATCTCGGAGGATTTGGTTTCCATGGGAAGGAGAGCCCGAGGGATTCCAGACAATTAGGGTGGAAGGCAGCCTGGGAAGCGGGGTTGGGGCACATGCAGGCGCCCATGCTGTGTTCGGGGAGGATGTCAGACTGGGTCTGGAGTCCCGGGAACCCAGGAAGCTGCCCGGGCTGACCTGGGAAGTACAAAAGGAGGTGTCTTAGAGCAGGGGAGCTCTCTGGGAGCTGAGGAATGGAGGTCTGGGGGGAGGAAGGACTGCAGCAGCCTTTCAGGGAGGGGTTCAGCCCTGGAAGTTGGGCAGCAGAGTGAACCTCTAGGGATTTGGAGGCAAGGATCCCACTGGATCTGGGTTTGGGGAAGAGGAATTGGGTGGTCATTGAGAGAGGAGGGAGAAAGGAAGGTCTGGCGCTCCCATCTAAGAATCTGGGTGCCTTGGGGGTGAACGTGGGGAATTGTAGGTTGGGGAGAGCTGGGGTGTAGTACATATGGGAAACAGGGAAAGTTGGGGCCTCCTAATGTAACTCCGCAGACCAGGAGCCTGGCTTTCCCAGGAGCTTAGATGTGGGGGTGTCAGCGGAGAGGCCCGCTTCCCTCGTCCTCCCTGGGCGGGTGAAGGAGGCGGTGAGGAAGCAGTAGAGCAGGCGGGAGGTAGGAAGCCAGTGCTCAGGTCCCACAGGAGCCAGGTGAGCTGCTTGGGAGAGGTAGGCCTCCAGAGTGGTCCCCCACGCCCTGCAGGAGGGTGACCTCCATGTTCCTTGGCTCCCTGGGTAGGAGGGTGATTCTTGCTGCCTAGAAATGGAGGGAGCTGTCAGGAGTTTCTCAGGTCAGGGCTCCAGAGGGCCCACCTGACCCTGTCGCCATTCCCCCACAGCCCTCGGCGTTGCTGACGCCCCCAATGTCGTCGAGCAGCCGGGGGCCGGGGGCCGGAGCGCGCCGACGCCGAACCCGCTGCCGCCGCTGCCGGGCCTGTGTGCGAACTGAGTGCGGGGACTGCCACTTCTGCCGAGACATGAAGAAGTTCGGGGGGCCCGGGCGCATGAAGCAGTCGTGCCTGCTCCGGCAGTGCACTGCCGTGAGTTCTGCCCGCCCTGGGGCTCTGGGCGCCCTTCCCCGCTGGCCAAGGGCCTTTCTGGGGTGGCTGGTGGCTCCTTCCTAGGGTTTCCTGTAGAGTTGCTGTTGGCTCACTCATTCATTCACTGGTTTGCTCAGATGTACATTGGGCCCATTTTTCCTCCCTCAGCTCCAAGCTGAGGTCACAGGAAAATCTAACCCAGTCTCTGCCGTCATACTTGCCCCAGCTTCCCGAGGCACAGACCAGTAGAAAACCTGGCCCCTCGCTCGCACCACGTGGAGGTGTCTGTGACAGGGCCCACCCTGAGCCAGCCCCAGGAATAGGTCTTACTTCCTCACCTGCCAGAGGGGCCTTGGATTTGAGGCTGAGCTTACCCTTTGTGTGACCTTGAGCAAATCACTGAATCTCAAAGGTACTGTCTCTGCAAAACGTTTCTTTTGCTGAGTTATAAACAATAGCACAGAAATGCAAGTGCCTGCCACAGGGCCAGCACACAGTAGGTTTCTGAGGAGCATAGTAGGTTTCTTGTCAGCTGTCCGCATCCCTTGAGCTTCCCAGGCTCCAGAGAGCGGCCCTTCCCCTGCAGCCATGGGCCTCCAGAAGCATCCTGTGGCCCCCTCCCCACACCATCACTTTCTTTTCCCTCAGCCACTCTTTACTGCTTGGTCTCCTCACCCACCCCCTCTCTCCTCTTTGTCCCCAGCCCTTGCCCACCTTCTTGTTCCTTCCCCCCCACCTGCTTCTTCCTTGAGCCTGCCTGTCTCAAACCTTTTTCCCTAATTGTCCTCCCCAAAGTCATATTATCTGAAGCTGCTCCCTTTTCCTTAAGACCAGCCTTTAGAGTTCCCAGGGTCTTGCCCAAACCTGATTCATTGTGAGCTCCAGAGCAACGCTTAGGCTGCCCACTGAGCCACCTCAGAGGCATCTTGCTGTCGCCTCCCCTCCCAGCCCTCTCTGAGGACTAGTGTCATATTTGCTTATGGTCTCTCTTTCTCACAAAGCCAGCAACAATTCCAGGGTCATAGAGGCCCTGGATCTAGCTGAACATTCACAACAGTGAACAAACTATGTAACAAATGCCTATCTTGCATTATCTCATCCTTAAAGAGTTCTGCACAGGAAAAATTCCTAGCCCCATTTTACAAAGGGAGAAACAGGAATGAGATAAAAATCAGTTGCTCAAGGTCATACTTCCAAAAAAGAAAGAAATTCAAGATCTGATCCAGCTTGGCCCACAGGTTCTAAACCTCCTCCAGCAGCTGGCCAAGGTTCCCAGAAAGAAGGGTCTCTCCCCTGTTGCTTGCTTTCGGGGTCCCTGATGCCCTTCTCCCCAACAGCCCGTGCTCCCACACACAGCTGTGTGCCTCTTGTGTGGGGAGGCTGGGAAGGAGGACACAGTAGAGGGAGAGGAAGAAAAATTTGCTTTGAGCCTCATGGAGTGTACAATCTGCAACGAGATCGTCCACCCTGGCTGCCTGAAGGTGACGCCCTGGGGGACCCGGAGTCGGGGAGGGCACACTGTCAGGGGCAAGGAGGCTGGGCAACCTGCCTCTGACTTGACTGATACCTATATCCATTCCCTGCCCTCTGCCCACAGATGGGGAAGGCTGAGGGTGTTATCAATGCGGAAATTCCTAACTGCTGGGAGTGCCCTCGCTGTACCCAGGAAGGCCGGACCAGCAAGGTAGGGGCAGAACTGGGCTGGGTGCTGGGCTCCCAGTGGGCTGCGGAGCTATGCAAAATCTCAACCCCAGCATTCATCTCTTCAGGATTCGGGTGAGGGACCAGGCCGCCGAAGGACTGACAACGGAGAGGAGGGTGCCAGCCTGGGGAGTGGATGGAAGCTGACGGAGGAGCCGCCACTTCCACCACCCCCACCCAGGCGCAAAGGCCCCCTGCCTGCTGGGCCTCCCCCAGAGGACGTGCCTGGGCCCCCCAAAAGAAAGGAGAGGGAGTCAGGGAATGAGCCCCCAACCCCAAAGAAAAAGGTGAGCCAGGGAGCATGCTCACGAGGTTCAGCCAAGGGAATCTGGGAGTGGTAGTCTTCCTTTTTAGGGAGGGCCCGTGGGTTCCCTCAGGGATTGTTGGGAGATGTAATTCAGGAGGGGAGGAGGGCGGGAGGATGGGGCACACTCAATGTAGAGAAGAGGTACAGGTGAGAGGGGCAGCTGGCACTGGGCACTGAAGCATTGGGAGCCCTGAGTACTTTGGGGATTAGGGAAAGAGCACACTCAAAGCTGCTACAGAGGAAGGAGGAGGGGCTGGAAAGGGCCTGAGGGGGAAGAAAGAGGAGATGAGAGCATACTCACTGAGCCAAGACATTGGTTAGAAGGTGAGCATGCTCAGAATTCTCCTTGAGGTGGGGGCTTCTGGGAATTGTAGTCCAAGAGGAGGGCATGGATCTCAGTTGTGGACGATGAGGGACTAAAGGGTCTCTCCCTTTCCCTATGTCTCCCTCTTTCCCTGGTAGGTGAAAGGAGGCCGTGAGAGGCACCTGAAGAAGGTGGGTGGAGACGCCTGCCTCCTCCGAGGATCGGACCCAGGCGGCCAAGGCCTTCTGCCCCCCAGGGTTCTGAATCCAAGCCAAGCTTTCTCGTCCTGCCACCCTGGGCTCCCTCCCGAACACTGGGAGGTGTGCCTGGGACCTCCTCCCTCCCTGTCCCACCTTTCCTTGCCCCACCCTCCACCCTGGAGACAGATCTGTTTTCCTGCTCACCTAGTCCTGCCCCTGCTCCACTTGGCCACGATGGGCATCTGGACCCCAGAAGCATGGAGGGGGAGAGTGGGCTGGGGTCAGGGCCACAGGAGCCCCTGACTTTCCAAGAACCCTCAGGGTATTAATAATCTGACCCTTTTGCATCATCTTTCTAAACCTTAAAGGGGAAAGAACTGAGTCCAAATCTCTGCCTGCTGACTCGCTGTGTGGTCTTGGCAATTTCTCAGCTGCTCTGAGCCTCAGTTTTCTTATTTGGGAAATCTACCTTCCTTATCTACCTATCCCACTATTTAAATCTACTGAAAGTAAATGGGCTTTGTAAATTATAAAACTTACCTAGATTCGAGGAAAATAAGGTCCAGAGAGGTTAAAAGACTGGCTTAAGGCCATACAGCAAAGTAAGGAATCAGATGTCCCTTTGCATGGACACACTAAATCTGCCTGATGGTGTTCAAACGCCACCTCTGCCATTTGTCACTTTGGCGTTTAATCTCTCTGAGCCCATCTGCCTCATGCCTAAAAAGAGTGACCCAGGTTGCCATTCAAGCACTGGGGATGTGATGGTCAGCAAGTGTGGGATGCTCTGCCTGAGGCCAAGCGATCTTTGTTATTCTCACATCCTTGACTGGACACTTGGAATTGTCTAGTCCAGTGTCCCATGTTACAGATGGTGAGACAGGGGCTTCCCAAGGTCACACAGAGTTGATGGCCAAGCCAATATCAGATCTGGACTATGTTTTCATAGCATGCTGCTTGTGGAAATTCATGAGCCCATAAGGCATTTAATTCTTTGAATCAGTGCCTTCACGTGACAGATAAGGAATGTGAGGTTCAGGCTTGGCTTGGGTGGTGCCTCACGTCGCTCAGAGCCAGGGCTGGACCAGGACTATGCAACCCCTGGTGACTCCTTGGGCAGGGGGTGGGGAGTGTGTGTCGGACCCTACAGCAGTCTCCTGTCTCTGCAGAAACCAAAGCCACCTTTGGCCTCTGCTGAGGGCCCAGCGGTGCCATCCCCATCACCACAGAGGGAGAAGTTGGAGCGTTTCAAGCGGATGTGCCAGCTGCTAGAGCGGGTGCCTGACACCTCCTCGTCCTCCTCGGACTCAGACTCAGACTCCGACTCATCAGGCACATCCCTGAGTGAGGATGAGGCCCCTGGCGAGGCCCGAAATGGGCGGCGGCCAGCCAGGGGCAGCTCAGGCGAGAAGGAGAACCGCGGGGGGCGACGGGCTGTACGGCCTGGCAGTGGGGGGCCCCTCCTCAGTTGGCCCTTGGGCCCTGCCCCACCACCCCGGCCCCCACAGCTGGAGCGTCATGTGGTACGGCCCCCACCTCGAAGTCCTGAGCCCGACACACTGCCTTTGGCTGCTGGATCCGACCACCCCCTGCCCCGTGCTGCCTGGCTTCGTGTCTTCCAGCACCTTGGGCCCCGAGACCTGTGCATCTGCATGCGAGTCTGCCGGACTTGGAGCCGCTGGTGAGTGGCCTGCACGGGCCCGGGTTCTATTGCTGACACCCTCCTCACTTTCTGGGTGACGTGTCGCCTGTTCCTCCTCCTTCCTCCCTGGTCAGTTACTTCTGTAGTGTGCACACTACAGCGTGATACTTCTGCATTTGCAGTGCGCAGGCTGCTTTCTGTTTTTGAGCTCATTTAATCCTTATAACGACTTTGTGAGGTAGGTACTGTTACTCCCCTTTACGGATGAAGCTGAGGTCAAGGTCATGTGGAGAGGAAGCAATAGAACCAGGAATCTGAACTTAGCCCCTCTTGTTCCCGAATCTTTCCTCTTAACAGTATAATTTGTGAGTGTTTAGTACGTGCCAAGCATAGTGCTCACTACTGCATATGCATCATCTCGTTTGCTTTTCACACTTCCTCTTCTGAGGACAATCTTACCTGTTTACACATAAGGAAGCTCTTTGCTGAGGTGGCCCTGCCTTCTCACAAGCAGCCATACTTGGGCCTCCTGACCCTCAGTGACGTCTTCATGCCCAATCCCAGCTCCCTCTGCCTGTCCTCCCCGTCTCCCCACTGCTTCCTGAGCCTTGTTTATTCAGAAATCTCCCTCAACTTCCCAAACCCTGCTCTTCCTCCCCCCAATCCAACCTCGGAACACTCTGTTCCCCTCACAGCTCACAGAGGGGATGAGCCTTCACTCATTTACTCATTTTCATGTTCCAATCAGTTTCTGGGATAGTGCAGATACTGTGTCTGTTTTATCTTCGTGTTCCCAGCACGGGATAAAGGGCAGTGTAGATGCTCAAGAAATATTTTATTCCATGAGAAAATTCAGGCTCTTTCTCAAGCGCTTACTGTGGACTAGACACCCTGTTGGCCATTTTGCAAATGTTAGCTGATGTTTCCTCATGATAGTGGCCCTCTGAGGGAATGCGGGACTCCTGAAGTCACAGCTCAGCTAGTGGCTGAACTCAAACTCTGATCCTTTCCCTGTGGGCTCTGCGTGCTGGCGCCTGTCTCCTGGGCTCTGGAGGTCAGTGCCTGTGGTTCAGTCTGACCCTTCCTCTCAGGAGCTGCCTGCCGTTGGGCCAGTTTCTTAACTGCTTCTGGCCTCATTTTCATCTGTTAGACTAGCAGGACCAAAACATTTACTGCAGAGTTGTTGGTGCGGTGTGTTTTTATTTATTTATTTAACTTATTGTGTTGACATCGATTAGTAAAATTATGTAGGTTTCAGGAGTGCAGTTCATACTGCATTGTCTGTATACCTCAGTATTCTTGTAGCTGAGGGCAGTACCTGGGAAAAAGAGACAGCTTGATGCCTTAACCATAATCATTGTTACTCACTCAGTTATAAGTGATTACTGAGAGCACAGACTTCCACATCCTCAGAACATAGAACTGTCCTCGGAGCACAGCTCCACGGCAGCCTGCAGCACAGAAGCAGAGTACAGCAGCTGCTGGAGGTGACCGCCGGCCGCATGTCATAGCTGAGGCCTCTTCCCCACCACCAGCCCTGTGCTTGTGCATGGGATTCAGGACTGAAGAGGACGTGGTTTCGGCCTCAAGGAGAGATGTGTGACCAGAGGTAGAGAGAGGCTGGGCTGCACAGTGGTTTCCGGCGTGGCCCTGGAGTTTGGTCCTTATGTGCCTCATCAGCTGTGACTCCGGCACTTCCTGGATGTGTGGCCGTGGGGGACAGTTACACCTACCAAGGCCCCAGTGCTCTCATCCACTGTCTGGAGTTCAAGTTAATACTTTGTGGGGATTAAATGAGATGGTTCTTGCAAAGTACTTAGCATAGTACCTGGAGGGTACCAAATACTCAATAAAATAAGAGGAGGAGGGTAGGGCAGAGCAGGAGCGCGGGGCATAATGGGAACACTCAGAAGGCTCTATAAGGCCTGGGGCAGAAGCAGGGGCAGGGAATGGAGAGAAGTGATTCAGGTTGAGAACTTACTTAAGAAGCAGAAAAGCCCTGTCTGGTTTGCCTCAGTGGGTAGAGCGTGGGCCTGCGAACTGAAGGGTCCTGGGTTCAGGTCCGGCCATGGGGATTGCAGGTTCCATCCCCAGTAGGGGACGTGCAGGAGGCAGCGGATCAATGATTCTCTCTCATCATTGATATTTCTATTTCTCTCCCCTCTCCCTTCCTTTCTGAAATCAATACAGATATTTAAAAAAAAAAAACAAAAAAAAAAAAACAGAGGAGTTTGTATTTGGTGACTAAGTGGCTATGGGGCAACAGTGCTCACATTGGGGAATACCAAAGGAAGAGAAGCAAGTGCTGGGGGGAAGGGAAGCGCACAGATTTGACATGTGCGGTCTGGGAGGTTGTGGGCCAGTCGGAGCAGCAAGGAAACAGCTGGATGGACCAGTCTGAGGCTCAAGAGAAAGGTCCGCGTTAGAAACGAGGACACGGCAGTGAACAGCAGGCAGTTGCCGGTTGTCTTGTCTGGTGGCTTCTGTCTTCTCTTGGAACTAGAAGGCAGTGATTTATTAGAGAAAGATCCAAGTTTGGGAGTTTTTAATCTATAGATACCAGCTTCAAGGAAGAAAGCAGAACACAGAATGTCAGTATTGGTGAGTTAGAGAAGGAGCAGCCAGAGGCTTGGAGGAGATCAAGGATGGAGCATGTGCTCTGAGGGAGGGAGGTTGAGGAAGGAACGAGTGGTGAAGTGTTGGATGTTGGCAGAAGGAGATCAAGGCCCAGAGTGGTGGTTGGATTTGGATTTTGCTACAAGGAGGCCTTGGTATCCTTGGCTGTGCTACGTGGGGGTGGGGAGACGGAAGCCAGGTCACACAGGGTCAAGGCCAGGACTTGCTCACTTGCTGCTGCACCTGGTTTCTAAAATGGTACCTGGCATACAGTGGGTACTAAGAAAATATTCTTTAAATGAATGAGTGGCAGTGAGAAAATCAGGATGGAGGGTAGAAAGAGGTAGTGAGAAATTTCTGGTGGGGAGCAGGAAGTTTCAGGCTTTCCTCTCCGTGACTTCTATCTTTTCTGGGAACTGGGGGGCCAAGTGCTCTGTCCAGGGTGAGGGGGAGCCCTGGCAGGATAGCTGGTTACAGTTGTCCTGATAAGCCAAGATTTGGGTTCGATCCCTGACCAGGGCACATACAGGAAGCAACCAATGAATGCATAAATAGGTGGAACAATAAATTGATCTCTCAAATCAATTTTTTAAAAAGGAGGGGAGAGAAGGCAGGCAGAAGTGGCGAAGTTGTTGAGTTTCAGGGAAGAGGGATGGGACTTGGGAGGACATGGGCAGAGAGAGTGGCAAGGAAGGGACTGGAACACAGGATCAAGGCCAGCAGGGGTTGGTAGCAGAGGCTTAGCGATGGACAGATTGGAGGACCGCGGAAGCATCAGGGAGCTGAGAGCTAGGAGGAAGAACTGGCTTTGGCTGGAGACCAGGAAGCTGTTGAGCTCCTTACAGGTGGCCGTTTGGGCTGCTCCATCTCGGTGTCCCCAAAGGGAGGTTTAGGACTACATTTTAGGATTTTGGAGGTGGGCTTGGTAGGGGGTGCCTCAGGGGGTAGCTGGAGTTAAGGGTGAAGTGAATGGCTTAGAGAATTTGAACATCAAGCCCTGCCCCCCCTGGATGGTGGCATGCTTAGTTCCTGAAGAGTTCTTCCTGCTTCTTGCCTGAGAGTTACTCCCCAGGTTAGACAGAACCATCCCTGGCTCCCTGTTGCCTACCAGCGAGCTCCCACAATCCTATTGGCCATGAACAGTGCCCCAGTGACTGCACTGATCACCTCCCTGTACTCTCTCGTCTTTGCAGCAACCCTTTGAATTAAGTGTTGATTTAATTCCTTTTATAGTTTGGAGAATGGCCCAAAGAGGGCAAGTGACTTGTCTAAGGTCACATAAAGCACAGAGGTGGCAGAGCTGGGATTTAGATACCCATGCCCTTCACCTCTGAGCTCTGTGGCCACAGAAATTCAGTCTGGCATGCTAGTCCTTCTTTAAAAAATTTTTTTTTATTCTATTTATTTATTTACTTATTTATATCTCCACCCGAGGATATTTTTTAAATTGATTTTAAAGATAGAGGGAGAGAGAGAGAAACATTGATTGGCTGCCTCCCACATTGACTCTACCCAGGGACCAAACCCTCGACCCTTTGGTGCATGGGATAATACTCCAACCAACTGAGCAACCCTGGCCAGAGCCATTCTAGTCCTTCTTGACATGTCACCCCCACCCTAGGCCTCCTCTGTAGCCTCAATCTCTGCCTCTTCCCCACTCACCAGAGTTCAGGCTCCCGATCCAGACCAGCGAGGTTTAAGCCCTGGCTCTGCCACCATTTAGTAGCTGTGATACCTTGAATAAGTTTCTTCACCTCTCTGAGCCTCATTTCTCTTGACTCTAAAAAGGAAATGATAATAGTATTTACCTGCTAGGGCTATTGTGAGGTTAAATGTTTAATACGTACAACAGTACCTGGTGCATAGTAAAGCCTTGATAAATAGTAGTTATTAGTGCTATAGTCATCATCATCATCATCATTCTTATTATGAGATGATGAATTGCCCTTTGTTCATGCTGCCTGAGCGACTCTGAGCTCTGTGTGTTCTCTCTGTATCCTGGACCTGGGGGCTAGTTCTTCCCCATCTGGAATGTCACTCTCCTCCTACCCACTCCTCACTGAGCAGTGACTGCTGTCCTCAGACTCTCATCAGGCATGTCTCCCTGGGCAGCTCCCCGGCTCAGTGTTCTCGACTCTTATCATGTTCTCTGTTGCTTCAGTTTCTGCGGACCGGCTGTCTCCCCCGCTTTCTGACTGCTTTGTGCGCCTTGGAGGCTGGACACTAAGTATCAGTAGGGCTTCAGTGACTGTTGGCTGCCGCTCTGAGGTTCTAATCCAGTTTCCTGGTCAAGCAAGAGCAAAGGGATCGATTAGCTCCAGGACAAGGAAAGTCAGGGGAGACTTCCTGGAAGAGGAGGCACTGGCGCTGAGCTTTTAAGGATCTGGGTTGGTTGGCATTTCCACACAACATATGTGCCAAATGTGTTGGCACCAGACAGCCTGTGTGTCTGCAGGCAGCTGGTGGTGTGGAGTATGGTACAGAACACCTGGGAGCCTGTTGTACCTCAGGGGGAAGGGCCTCCTTTCCAGCCATGGGAGATCCAGGAGCAGCTTCAAGGTGGTGGTCGCAGTTGAGCTGGGACTCAGGATCGAATCAGAGTGGGTCCAGAAAGGTTTGGGACAGAACAGGACTTTACTTAGTAGAGAGAAGGGGCAGGACCTAGGGACAGAAGTTGTGTTGGGGTGGGGTTTTTGTTTTGTTCTTTTCCTTTTTAGAATTGGAGAGATTTGCAAATGTTAGTGGTTGAGGGATGGAACAGGAGCGGGAGAGGCTGGAATGCCAGAGGGAGGAGGGGTAGGAGGTGGGAGGTAGGGCGGGGAGGTGGGGCTGTTGGGATTGAAGCCTCAATGTCTGGGCCTCCAGCGTTTCCTAACCTGTTCCCCAGCGGCTCTGAGGTCTGCCTGGCAGTTTTAAGTGGCACAAAAAGGCTTCATTCTTTTATTAGTTTTGAAAAGGATGTTCCTCCGTTGTGTGCTATTGCATCTTTAGTACCTTTCTTATACTCATCTCCCTGTTTAACAAAAAAGTCTTTAGGTGGTAGCCCAAAGCTACAGCGGATTTAATAACCTTGGTCTGTGTTTATTGTATTTATTTCTGTGGTTAACACATTTATTTGAAACAGTGTTGGTTTTAAGTGCATAGAGGGGATCAATTTAAAGATAAATCCATATTCTGCAGATAAGTGAATAGCAAATGACTGGGGTTGGAGAAAAAGCCCTTCAGAATTGGATTCGGGGGAGATACAGCTTATGGGGCCCTCTCCACCCCTGCTGCTCTGACACAGTTCGTCTAACCCAGAGGGGAATTCCTGACATGCCCTCAAGAACTGCATTAAGAAGAGTTTTCACCCCTAGCCGTTTGGCTCAGTGGATAGAGCATTGGCCTGCAGACTAAAGGGTCCCAGGTTGAATTCTGGTCAAGGGCACGAGCCTGGATTGTGGGCTCGATCCCTATTAAGGGGCGTGCAGGAGGCAGCCGTTTAATAATTCTCTCTCATCATTGATGTTTCTATCTCTTTCTCCCTCTCCCTTCCTCTCTGAAATCAATAAAAATATATTTTTAAAAAGCGTTTTCAAAGGGAGTCTCAGGGAACTCTTAGTGCACTACAAAGTATTAATAGATAACCTGTGGGGAAGGGTTCCCTGATAAAATAAGTTTGGGAAGCCCTTTTCAGGCTGCCAGAAACGCTGGGATCAGGAAACCTGCTTTACCTTTGTTCAGGCCTCATTCGTCTTTGTAGCTTCAACACCTTGGACCTGCCCGGTCCTCCATAAGCATTGGCGGGTGAATGAGAAGCTGTAAGTGAAGTGTGTTGTGAGCAGTGCTCATGGAAGCTTGGCCCCATTCGTTGCAACAGATAAGCTGCTGTGTCCATGGCACAGTGCTGGGCACTGGCTAACCGAAGGGAAAGGCCAGATGTGCCTTGTGGAGCCCACATTGTAGTTCATGGGACACAGTAGTCAAATCCAGAGAGCAAAAGGGCTGTCAGTCAAACCTTGGGCAGCTGCCCATCAGGATGGGGCAGATGTGGATCAAGAGCAGAAATTGGTAGAGAAGACGTGACCACAGGCCAACAACGTAACTTGGTGAGCAGTCCCAGGTGGGGGCTGAGATCGCCGAAGCTCCCTTTGGTGTTACAGCAACTGTAGTACATAGGATGTGTGTGTGCGTCTTAAGCGGTAAGGTACGGACACCAGAATGACCTCGTTTGCTCTCACAGTAGCCCTATGGGCAGGCCAACAGGGATATTATCTTCATTTTCTAAACTAGGCCTCTGAGCGCAAGGAGAATGGACTTTCCCGGCAGGAAGACTATTTGAAGATTCTTAACTAAAATAGTTTTTAACTAAACTTGCATCTAGCCGAGACCGGTTTGGCTCAGTGGATAGAGCGTCAGCCTGTGGACTGCAAGGTCCCGGGTTCGATTCCAGTCAAGGGCATGTACCTTGGTTGCGGGCACATCCCCAGTAGGGGGTGTGCAAGAGGCAGCTGATTGATGATTCTCTCTCATCGATGTTTCTGACTCTCTATCCCTCTCTCTTCTCTCTGTAAAAAAAAAAACCAATAAAATATATATAAACTTGCATCTAGTTTAGTAATGGGTTTGAGCCCCAAACTCCACCCTCTTGGCCTGGGTCCTGGAGCTCCCTGCAGCCCCCTCCTCCCACCTTTTGTGTGGATCGGCGAAAGCTGGGGTGTGCCATGGAGTGTGGGACGGGCTGTGGCTCCCTGAGAGCTGAGGGCTGTCTACCCTCTTGTGGCTGCCAGGTGCTATGACAAGCGTCTGTGGCCTCGAATGGACCTGAGCCGGCGGAAGTCACTCACTCCCCCCATGCTTAGTGGTGTGGTTCGTCGCCAGCCCCGAGCCCTGGACCTCAGCTGGACAGGTGTCTCCAAGAAGCAACTCATGTGGCTTCTGAACCGACTGCAAGGTATGGCAAGGTGGTGAGGTTGGAGAGAATGGCGTGTGGGATAAGCCTGGCACAGAACCTCCTAGCACCAGCTTCCTAACTTCCCCCAGGCCTGCAGGAACTGGTGCTGTCTGGCTGCTCCTGGCTCTCTGTCTCTGCCCTGGGCTCAGCCCCACTGCCAGCCCTGCGGCTTCTGGACCTGCGCTGGATTGAGGATGTTAAAGACTCCCAGCTCCGAGAGCTGCTGCTGCCTCCGCCAGACACCAAGCCAGGTGCAGCTCCTTGGCTCGTTTGTAGAACGGGTTGGGCGAGGTGGGGCCCGTGCGAGGTTTAACGGGTTGGAAGAAAGGACAGAACACTTGAGTTTGAAAAGGAAGGCCCTGCGTGGCCACTGTTCGTTCATTCACTCACCTGCTGTGTGCTGGGCCTGGTGATGGGAGTGGGGGGAACAGGATGAAGAGGATGTGGTCCCTGGCCTCCAGGGGAGGTAATTATGGGATGGAGCACAGTAGAGGACAGGAGGGTGACGCTGGATTCTGGGAAAAGCCACGGGATCTACGTGAAGCCGCTGGGTATGGTGGGCTCCATGGCTGTTGCTGTGGGAGAATGTGGGCTCTGTGGTCCGTCACCTCTGTTTGTCAGGAGGAGCCAGGAGTATATGTTTTCTGTGGCATATCCTGGTTTTTAAATGACGGAAATTAATTCAGATTCTTTTAAGATTCACATGTGGATCTAGATTTAGTCCCTAGACTCCCTTGCCCTACAGTCAAAAGACACGGATTTCCCGAAGGGAAAGAGCAGAGAGGGAGCCGATTGACATGGGAGTTTGCGTGGAGTGGAAGTGTCATCTCCCGAGTCAGGCCAGCCACCTCCTCACTGTGGGGCAGGCCAGGTACCTGCCAAGCCAAATCAGCTTTTATTGTTGAACACATCCTGGGCCTGGGCCTGGATAGCACCCTGGAGACCTCAGCCTGAATCAGCCTCATTCCCCATCCTGGTGGAACCACAGTCAGAGAGAGACCGACTCAGAAATAGAAGGTTCTAGAGCATGATGTGGTAGGCTAAGGGCTGCTGTGGGGGGTTGGGGGAAGGGAAAGGAGCCAAGGAAGAAGCCCTCCTGAAAAGGAGCTAAACTGAGTCCTGAAAGGGACCGGGTTTTTCCAGGAAAGTTGAGGCAGAATAAGTAGTTTTGTGGGGCTGAGGGGGGTGCTGGTCACCTTGGGGGTGCTACAAGGTATGGGGTGGGGGCTTCCTTGTCTAGCCAAGAGATAGCTTACAATAGCTTCTTCTCTGGTCCACACCAGTCTGTTCCTCACACCAAAGCCAGGGGAGCCATCCAGAAAGACACATGTATCCATTTCACTCCTGTGCTCTCTTTTTTGCTTCCTGGTGTTCTTTGGATAAAGATCGATGTTTTACTGTACTCACTAAGGCCTGCCGTGGTCTGGTTCCTGCATTTTAGCCCCTCAGCCTCCTTGCCAAGTTCCCTCCAGCCCAGGGCCTTTGCCCACTCTTCTTTGCCTGGAATGCTCTTATCTTCCTTCACCTAATTAACTCCTAATCACCTTTGAGGCTGCCACATAAATGCCACTGCTTCCTAGAAGCCCTCCATGATTCTCTTCCCCATTGAAATCAGGGTCCCTCTTCAACTTTAAGAGAGTTCCCTTCCAGTTTAGAGGGTACTGCTGTGAAATGATTTGATTAAAACCTCTCCTCTCACTAGGTTCTTAAGCTCTTTGCGGGCAAGGACTATCTTGCTTTCACAGCTCTTTCATGGCTCCCATCTTCCCACCCTCCTCACCGCACCCCTTCACAGCAGCCTTGGAAAAGGAGTAGAGGAGCAGCTAGGATTCCTTGCGTTTTCTGGATAAGGTACCAGAGGTCCAGAGGGGTTGAGTGCTTCAAGTCACACAGGCAGTGCCAAACGAGAGCATTCACCCACTGCCCGCTCCTACCGGAACTGGGTGAGCCGGGAAGATTTGGGCTCGTGTAAGGGTGGGCCTTGGGAGCAGTGCATTCCATGAGCTGAGGAAGTGCTGGCTGGCGGGCAGACTGACTCCATCTCCTGCCTGAACTGACGTCAGTTTCAGCGCCTTTATCAGGAGCTCCCAAAGATGGATGAGCCTTTCAGGCCCTCAGGCCTATTGTGCATGTTGGAACTCTACACCTGCTTTTCTGATCTTGGCTGCCTGCGTTCCTGGAGCAGAATTTAAAATTCTACTTCTTGCTTTTGCCCCTGCTGTTTTCTGCCTGGCATATTCTTCTCCCACCTCTCCACAGGGTTAGAACTTGAAGGCCCAGCTTAACTGCTGCCACCTCAGTGCTGCCTTCTTTTCCCTGTCTAAGCCAGGTGCCCTCTCTCCTCTGCTTTCCTCTAGTGGCTTCAGCTGTGGCCCAGGGTTGATGGCATCTGTGATGTATTCCCTCTCTAAGCTCTCAGCTCCTCAGTGAAAAAAAGCGGCTGGAATTCAGAGCTTGCCAAGTCAGGTCCTCACAGAGGCAGTGAGTGATGAGTCTGGTGCAGGACATTAGAAAGTAGGCTCATTCCCAGCTAATTGTCAGGTGAAAGGGTAGCCCAGTGATGTCACATCTACCATTTTCAAGGAAAAGCTCAATATCTGAATCTATATATATAACAGCCAAGCAACCAGAACAACTGGCACTGCGGCCAGCCAACCAGCCCAGTTGGGGGGAAGGGGGAAGGGGGCAGGCCTTCTCTGATTGCTCCCCTACCCCCATCAGGGACAGGACAGGCTGGCCAACCTCACACATCTCCTTCCCCACCTCCCTCTTCCCTCCTCCCCGCCCCACCAGCCTGGCCTGATTGAGCTCCCTGGGAGGAGCCAACTGGACTCCATCTGTGCACAAATTTGAGCATTGGGCCTCTAGTTTCTTTATAGAAATGTCCTTTGCCCTAGCTGGTTTGGCTCAGTGGATAGAGCATTGGCTTGTGGACTGAAGGGTCCTGGGTTTGATTCTGGTCAAGGGTACGTGCCCAGGTTGCAGGCTCAATCTCCAGTAGGGGGTGTGCAGGAGGCAGCCAGTCGGTAATTCTCTCTCATCATTGATGTTTCTCTCTCTCTCTCTCCCTCTCCCTTCCTCTCTGAAATCAATTAAAAAACAACAACACACCAAATATGTAATAAATAAATAAGTAAATAAAAATGTCCTTTAGGCCTAGCCCATGTGGCTTAGTTGTTGAGCATCGACCTGTGAAGCAGGAGGTCATGGTTTGATTCCCAGTTGGCACATGCCCGGATTGTGGGCTGGATCCCCAGTGCGGGGGGCGTGCAGCCCATCAATGATTCTCCCTCATTGTTTCTGTCTGATGTTTCTGTCTCTCCCTCTCACTTCCTCTCTGAAATCAACAAGAAAAAATATGTATTTTTAAATGTCCCTTTGGTAGGCTTAGTCACTTAGAAAACTTTTAGCATATGCAGATTCCTTAAAACACTCGTGTAGGCTAGGTTCATGAGTTTGTGGCATCTGACCCAGGTTACCTAAGGGCTCGGCTGGTGTCGGGAGGTGCATGGCATGGTGGTAGGTGTTTGGACTTGGAGCCACCAGGCTTTGTTACTTCATAGTCATTTGACTTTGGACAGATTGCTTAATGGTTTGAGCCTCCATTTTCTCATTGGGAAACAGATGATCATCAGAGAGCTTGTCTCCCAAGGCTGTGCTTCATAAAGCAGGGTCTCCAGAGCAGCAGCTTCAACATCACTTGCTAGAAAAATAAACTCTGAGGCCCCAGCCTAGAGCACCTCCACTCTGGGGGTAGGCCAGCAATCCATGTTAACTAGCCTTCCGAGGGGCAGAGTTTGAGAGCCACTGGCCTAAGGGCAGGCAGCTGCTTAGCCTGTGTCTGGCGCACAGTGAGTGCTCAATTAGTGGCTGCTGGTGCATCATAGGCATTTAGTTTTTTCAAAAACAAACTGTAATGCCAGGAACACGGTAAATTCAATAAAAGGGAAGCAGAGCATGCACTTTGGGCGCAAAGTTGAACAGTGTAAGCTCACGTACTCCGAAGATAAAGGGAGAGGCCGAGTTCAGACCTGAAAACCAGTGACCTGGCCAGGCAGAGGACAGCACAAGTGGCCACAGAGAGTCTCAGGCAGGGCCACCTGTGGAGTTTGGTTTGCGTATCTGGGGGTGAGGGAGAGGAGTGAGGAGCTGAGAAACTGATAGACCTGTAGGAACTGCAGGGTTCCACCAAGGACACTGAACTTCTTTGGGGTGCTCTCGGAGAGCTTTTAGCACAGAAGGGATGTTGGCCCACTTGCATTTGAGAATGGCTCTCTGGATTCCGGGAAAAAGAGGCGAGACTGGAGTGAGTGAAGAGGCTGGGGCAGGAGTTGAGGAAGAGTAGTGTCGACGCAGAGTGGTGGCAGGGGAATGGAGAGGAAGGGGTCCAGCTGGTGACTTGACTGATCATGGAAGGAGATGGAAGTGGGAGAGCAGCCTAGAATGGCAGTCCTGGTAGGGATGTCATTTGTTAGATGAGTGACTATATATTGAGCACCTATGTCCCAATTGTTGGGGTTAAAGCAAGAACAAGACAAACAAAAATTTTTGCCTTCATGGGAAGAGAGAGAAAAAAAATATATGCCAGATGGTGGCAAAGTGGGAGAAAATAATATTGTGGAATATTACAGTTTCAAGTGGAGTAATCATGGCAGGCCTCACTGAGGAGGCAGTATGAGCGATGACCAGATGAGATGAGGACCAGAGCAAGCCCCAGCCGAAGCTCACCTATAATGGGAGCAGATTTGTCTCCCTGGTTGCCATGGAAACAATGGGAGCAGATTTGGGGGTGAGGAATACAGGGCTGTAAACATAGCTGGTCTGGGGCCTGGGTGCAGGAATAGAAGCAGAGGGGTGTGCTGACCTTTCGCCTGCCTGCCCAGGGCAAACGGAGAGCCGTGGGCGGCTGCAGGGGGTGGCAGAGCTGCGCTTGGCAGGCCTCGAGCTGACAGACGCCTCCCTGCGACTCCTGCTGCGCCACGCGCCCCAGCTGAGCGCCCTGGACCTCAGCCACTGCGCCCATGTCGGGGATCCCAGTGTTCATCTCCTCACGGCCCCCACCTCCCCACTTCGAGAGACCCTGGTACACCTCAATCTTGCTGGTAAGCATGGTCCCCTGTCTGTCCATCCATTAGCCTGTTGATTCCCAGGACCAGTGCCTACGCCCTACTCACCTTCCTGGTGTTGTTACCATTACCCATCCCCAGGTTGCCACCGCCTCACTGACCATTGCCTTCCGCTGTTCCGCCGCTGTCCTCGCCTACGCCGCCTAGACCTGCGTTCCTGCCGCCAGCTCTCACCTGAAGCTTGTGCCCGGCTGGCAGCTGCTGGGCCCCCTGGCCCCTTCCGCTGCCCGGAGGAGAAGTTGCTTCTCAAGGACAGCTAGTTGGGTGCCCCCCCACTACCCCCCGACTCTTCAGGAGCCTGGCCCTCCGGCCTTCATTTCACTCCTGCCAGGAGGCCAGGTTACCCACCTCATGACTTGGGATTCCTGAGTGTTCCGACTTGGGATTCCTGCCCAGGGACTTGAGCCAGCCCCCCACTCTGCCCCCTGCACTGATATTTCTGGGGGTCTCTTTCCCCTCCCCTCCCCCTTCCACCTGCTTCATTGTCCATCCCCTGGGGGGAGTGGGTCAGAGGTACTGGGGGTTGCTGAGCCAAAGGGATGGTGGGTGGGGGGGTAAGGTGCAAGCTTGAGGGAGGGAGAATGGGGAAACACATCTGCATACAGGATACTGGGAGCCAGGGGCTGGGGAGGTGGAGGATGGGCTGGGTGGGGGGCAGAAAGCAGACCACCAGGGGTGCAGGGAACAGACCAGATACTTGGAGTTGGGAGGGAGGGGCCAAAAGGGAAACCAGAGGAGCATTGGAGTCCAGGTGTCAGAGGTGGGGATACTCGGGAAACCAGGGAAAGCCAGGGCTAACTGAGGGGCGGGGGGAGCAGGTGTGGGGGCAGTAGCACTCCCTCAGGGGGTTACTCCTCCTCTTACTCCCCAGTTTTAGTTCCTCCCCCCATCCCTGACTCCTTGAAAGTCACTGACAATGGCAGCTATTGCGAGGAGTGGGGGCCAGCTGGCCTGTCTGCTGTTCAGCGTGGCCCAGGGGAGTGGTGAGGGGTACCCCAGCCCCCTACCTGCCTCCCCGTTCAATACTTGAACATTCATCTGTACTGAAGTGTTACTTGAACCTGGGGAATCTCGGACTTGGGGGAGCTGGAGTGTGAGGGCCGGAGCGCTTGGACTGAGACTGGGCCGGTGGGCGCTGCCACCACCAGGCTCTTTCTTGCTTTACTGTATTGAGCAGTTCCACCCCTCCTGACCTGCCGTGGAGTGGGGTGCCATCCAGCGATGGAGAAGATGAGACTCCTTCAGTTTGGTTCTTCCCACTGGTCGTCATGGAAACTTGTATCCCATTTGCCCAGGGAACTGCCACTCCTGGTTGCCATGGAAATAGCAGCCAATGGACTCGTCCCAAAGCCAGGGCTAAGGCTGGTAATGGCCCCTCTTGGTTGCCGTGGGAACTTAGTAACAGTCTTGGCCCACCCCTGCCCTTTCCTCCAGTTGGGGGCGGGGCTTGGGAGCCAGGGCCCGCCCCTCAGCCCAGGCCTCGGGGTGGCTGGGTTGTACCATGTAGGGGAGGGGGGGTTTATCCACATACCTCAGGTAACAGGGAGGTGCGGGGTGGGGGGAGGGTCTGGGCGGACCAGAGGTCGACGGGAGGGGTCCTGGGGGTCGCGGAGGCTTGAGGTTGGGGCCGCTTGGGGGAAGGGAAAGAGGCAGCCCGGCGGGGGCACGTGGGGGACCCAGCCGGGGCTGGGCCCCGGGTCTGTACTATACGGTTTGCTATAAAACTCAAAATCTTCCAAATGGGGTGCCTGAGTTCCTGTGTCTGCGGCGCGGGGGGGGGGGGGGGGGGGTTGGGGGGGGCAGGGATGACCTGAGTGCTAACCCTTTGGGGCTCTCGGAGCCGTGGGCATCCCTGGCTCCCGGGAACTGAGTTTTCAGGCCCCCTCCAGCGGATGGGCTCACCTTTCCCCAGTTCACAGTTTGGGTAGAGGATTGGGGCTCTGGACCCGGGATGTCCCGAGGAGCTTGGAGTGAGTGGTCAGGGTCCGGGAGTCGGCCTCAGCGGAGCGGGGCGCCTCCTGACATTCTAGCGGGACTCTCACAGGGGTCCCCGGGGATCTCTGCGGACGCCCCCGACTCCACCCCATCATGTGGCCGCCGGCTCCGCCTCTGCCCCAGTTCCTGTTTCGGCCTCTGCTGTCCCGCTCCGGCCCCTGGGGCTCCCGCAGACGCCTCCTCTTTCTCAGTCCCACCGCCTCTCCCTGGGCACCTGCCGCCACATCGGCTCACCCCGCAGGGCATGGGGTCTCTTCCCGGCCTGCGCCGACCCTCCTGGACACCCCGAGGCTACTCGACCCCGCCCTGACTGCCAGGCCCCCTGGTGCCGCGGCCCCCAGGATGAAGGGCGGCCAGGGGGACGCGGGCGAGCAGGCCCCGCTGAACCCCGAGGCCGAATGCCCCTCGGGCTCGGCCACGTACCGGGAGTTCGTGCACCGCGGCTACTTGGACCTCATGGGGGCCAGTCAGCACTCGCTGCGGGCGCTCAGCTGGCGCCGCCTCTACCTCAGCCGGGCCAAGCTCAAAGCCTCCAGCCGCACGTCTGCCCTGCTCTCGGGCTTCGCCATGGTGAGGGGAGGGGAGGGGGCACGGGAGGGGGTGAGGAAGGGGCCATAGGCAAAGGAAATGGTACCCAAGGGGCGCCGGGCAAAGGAAAAGGAATGACTGGGTTTTAAGAGGTAAAAGAGGGAAACAAACAAGTTCCCAAGGGATGACAAATCCCTTTTTAATTGGGGGGGGGGGGGTGTGAACAGACCCCCGGCGTAAACTGGGCCACAGGGAGGATAATCAAGTGCTAAAGATGTCATGGATACAAGTCATGTCATGGGGATAGGTAAACCACCAGGGGTACATAGGCATGCGTGGGACAAAGGTCCAAAAACAGTCCAGCCCGAGGGGATTGCTAGACATCACCCCACCCTGCCAGGAGAGGTTCAAAGGCAGATCAGAGCTGGGCGCGGCTGTGCGAACAGCTGGAGGTGGGGTTAGAGAAAACAAACAGGTGGGGTGGTCACCCAACTGAAAGGGGGCCCATCCCAAGAAAGGCATCTGGTCCCCAGCAGGTCCCCAGGTGCCTGGTGCAGCCCAGGAAGCTGTGAGGAGAGGGTGCCTCTGAGGAAGTCTGTGGGGAAGAAGCTGATTAGGAAACTGATTGCATGATTCCTGAGCTGATAAACTGGTGGTGTGGGAAGATGACGGCAGCTAACGGGCCCAGAGAGGCCTGGGGAGTGGGGCTGAGGGAGGTCCCAGGGTGAGGAGTCCGCTCCCTCCTGCTGTGGCCCGAGACCCTGGGCAGGTCAGTGGGAGATGGTGAGGTGGTGGAGGGTGTGCCCTCTGTGGTCTGCCAACTGCCTGCCCTAGGATGAGCCGATTCTTGTCCTCAAACCCTAGATCTAAGCGTGTTGGAGCAAGATACACATCAAAGATGTGTATCTTTGGACTACCTGTTAATAGGCTGGAGGAGCGAGGTGTGTGTGTGTGTGGGGGGCAGACGCATCTTTATAGGAACCTGTTTTGTGGGGCAAATTGAGATGGGGATAAAAGGGTCAGAGCACTGGGTGATTTGGGTTAATCCCTACCCTTCTCAGTGCCGCAGCCTCTATTTAAAACGATCAGAGGGGAAGTTTCTATCCTCAAGGGTCATTCTAGGTCTATGATTATTTTTATGTGGAGCCCAGGGTCCACAGGCCAGTCTACCCTTCCTGTGGAGTCATCTGGGAGTTGGCTCTCCTTCCCCTACAGGCTGGAGAGGAAAGGAAACAGCCTCATGGACCCACCCCCATCCACCCCATGGTTCAGTCTGGCCTGCTGCTGGACTCGCATGTTGCTGGGGTGACAGCTTAAAGGCCAGGATCTTCTCTGCAGGATGCAGAGGCCAGATGAGTAGGTTCTGGGGGCAGGCCTGGCTCCGGCCTTCCCCGGGGGAAACTAGCCTGGGTCAGGCTATGGGAGAAAGCAGGAGTAGGCCTGGCCCAGATGCCCGTCTGTGGGAAACACCTGCCAATACCCTTCGTGGCCCACTTTCCCGAAACACTTGTCCTTGTCTTTCTACCACCATTCTCCAGGCTCCTTCCCTCAGCACCAGAGCAATCTAACGGGTCCTGCAAGAGCTATTGGGAAAAGATCCAGATCCTGGAACTCAGGTGGCCTGCGTGAAAATAACATACAGATAGTATTAAACTGTCATTAGGTACCAGGCACTGCGCTTAGGGCTTTTATGTATGTTATCTACTTTCTTATGAAGTAGGTGCCACTATTAATGGCCATTTTGCAGATGAAAAAACAGGATCAGAGATGTTATATCACCGGCCCGGAGTCCCACAGCAAGCAAGTGGCAGGATTTGAACTTTGGCAGTCTAGTTCTAGAGTCCAAACTTATACACACCTTGAACACGATCCAGGCAGGTAATGTGGGAGCCAAGTTGGTTTTGTGGGGACTATAGCTATAGAGACCCTGCCCTGTTCAAAGGCAGCAGCCATGACTCAGCTCTAGCTGATAGCTGTCATGCAAGAATGGACCGGGTGTAACCAGATCCTCTGAATTTTTAAAGGATCTGCAAATTGGGATATTTCTATGAAATTTCTTGAGTTTTATTTATTTTTTTATCCTCATCTGAGGATTCCCCCCCATACACACTGATTTTTAGAGAGAGCGAAGGGAGAGATAAGGGAGAGGGAGAGAGGGAGAGAAAGAAATATGGACCCGAGAATGACACATTGATTGGTCGCCTCCCTCCTGGATGAGGTCCCTTTCTCGTCCCAGGGGATGGAACCTGCAACTGAGGTATGTGCCCTTGACCCTTGACCAAGAATTGGGAATAGAACCTGCGACCTTGGGTCTCTGAGCTGATGCTCGAACCACTGAGCACCCGGCCAGGGAAAAAATCTCTTGAGTTTTAAAAACTGGCAACTTAATTCTTGGGTTCATGGTGTGCCAATTTGCAAACTGTGACCTTGGATTTTAGTGTTAACACAAATAAGAACAGCAAACAGTGCTTACTATGTGCCTTGCACTATTATTATCACTTGATGTATATTATCTCATTCAATTTTCACAATTTTATAAAGCAGATAGGTGCTATTATCAATCCCCATTTTCCAGAGGAGGCGATTGAGGCACAAGAGAGACTACGTCACTTGCTCAAGACTACACAGCTTGTAGGTCTGAGAATGAACCCAGGCAGCCCAGCTCCAGAATCTGCTTTTTAACCCCTATGTTTATAGCAAGCTAAGGTTGTCAGGGAAATGTCATCTAGCTGTTTTAATAGCTAGGTGGGGAAACTGAGGCCCAGACAGGCCAGAGCCTTCCCAAGGCTGCCCATTCATGCATTCAACAAAGTCTGAGAGTTTTTTTGTTTTGTTGTTGTTTTTTTCAATTTTCACCCAAGGATATGTTTTTCTGGATTTTTAGAGAGAAGTCTATGGCCATCTCACCCTGAATGGGTCAGATCTCATCTAATCTCGGAAACTAAGCAGGGTTGGGCCTGGTTAGTACTTGGATGGTAGGAAGATGAGAGAGAGAGAGAGAGAGAGAGAAAGAGAAAGAGAGAGAGAGAGAGAGAGAGAGAGAGAGAGAGAGATGAGAAACTGCTATTGGTTGCCTCCCATATGCTCCCCAACCAGGAGTCAAACCCAAACCTAGGTATATGCCCTGACCAGGAATCAAACCTGCAACCTTTTGGTGTATGGGACGGCACTAACCAACTGAACTACACTGGCCAGGGCAAGACTTGAGAGTCTTTCTGCCAGGCACTGTCCTAAGAGTAGAGCCTTGCTGCTGTTCAGGAAGTTATAGACACTCAGTCCATCCCTCTTGTCCCCACAGGTAGCCATGGTGGAGGTACAACTGGAGAACAACTACGAGTACCCACCAGGCCTGCTGGTGGCCTTCAGTGCCTGCACCACCGTCCTAGTGGCCGTGCACCTCTTCGCACTCATGGTCTCCACGTGTCTGCTGCCCCACATCGAAGCTGTTAGCAACATCCACAACCTCAACTCTGTCCACCAGTCTCCACACCAGCGACTCCACCGCTACGTGGAGCTGGCCTGGGGCTTCTCCACTGCCTTAGGCACCTTTCTCTTCCTTGCTGAAGTTGTCCTTGTTGGCTGGGTCAAGTTTGTGCCCATTGGGGCCCCCGTGGGCAAGCCAGCACCTGTGGTACCTACCTCCCAGGTGCCTGGGACTCTGCCACCAGTGGCCACGTCCCTGAGTCCAGCATCTAAGCCACCCTCTGCGTCAGTGCCCCCTCCACAGGCTGCGCCATCTGAGGCCTGCCCACCCCAGCAAGCATGTGGTGGTGGTGGGGTCCACGGACCGGGATGGCAAGCAGCCATGGCCTCCACGGCAATCATGGTACCTGTGGGGCTTGTGTTTGTGGCCTTTGCCCTGCATTTTTACCGCTCCTTGGTGGCGCACAAAACTGACCGCCACAAGCAGGAGTTAGAGGAGCTGAGTCGCCTGCAGGGGGAGCTGCAGGCTGTGTGACCCGTGTGTTAGCCACCTGTTACGAGCACTGCCTTCTTCGGGGGTCAGCCAGAGGCCCCTGGTCCACACCACTGTTCCCTGACTGCCTGGAGGCACTTCTTGTGGCCACTCTTAGGTGGAGGCCAGATTCCTGACCTCAGGGTCCTTTGGGCTGGGCCTTGGGCAGCTCCCACATTCCCTGGGATTCTCCTTGTTAGCCTGTCCCATGAGTGTTCTACACCTGGAAGGAGCGAGGGAGAAAGCGGAAGGTGTTCAGTCTAAGGGTCATACACCAGGTGGGAGAAAGGCAGGGAGACCCTGGTCAGACCTTTGGTGCTGACCCCTAGCGGCTTGCCCCGGTACAGGATGTGGAGGTCAGATTACATACCCACCAACTGCCCTAGAAGGCAGCCAACCCTTTCCTTGTTTTTATTTTTTAAAATCCTCACCTGAGGATATTTTTTCATTGCTTTTTAGAGAGAATGAAAGGAAGGGAGGGAAGGGCGAGAGAGAGACATCCATGTGAGACAGACACATTGGCTGCTTGCCTCCCGCACTTGCCCCAACTAGCTGGGGATGAACCTGCAACCGGTACATGCTACTTTTTTTTTTTTTTTTCTTTTCTTTTCCTTTTGATTTCAGAGAGGAAGGGAGAGGGAGAGAGAGATAGAAACACCAATGATAAGAGAGGATCATTGATCGGCTGCCTCCTGCACACCCATGATCTCCTGGTTCATAGGCTGATGCTCAACCGCTGAGCCATTCTGGCCAGACCTGTCAGTGTGGACGGGTTCACACTCTTGCTTTAGTTGTTAGAGAGAGGCATTTGGTGTTTCTGCCCAGGCATAGGCCCAGCCTTTTCTAGAAGGAGCCTCCCTATTTTTGGAGGTTCAAGTGCCTGTCCAACACCCCAGACCCACGATTAATGCTACTTTACCTGCTTCTCACTCTTCTGTGCCAGTCTTGGGGGTCTTTGGAGACTGAGGGCCTGTGTTCCCAGCTGGACTCCCTGGCAAGGTATGGGGTGAGGTTTTAAGGGAGGTCCAGTCCCTAACCCTGGGAATACAGAGCTGTTTTGACACTGAGTTTTTGATGCACCTTGTTTGTATAATAAATTGTGTTTCACAGATGTGTCTGTGGCCATGAATGGAGTGAAGGGATGGTCTTCTTAGGATCAGGCGCCTTGTTCCTAAGAGACCAGTAGAGACTGGGTGCCGGGTAAGGGTGCCCCCTTCTGGCCAGTAGCTTCTGAATGTGGAGCCTGAGTTTTTCCAGGCAAAAGGCGTTGCACTCTTGTTCCGGTCTCTCTTCCACTGAGAATTTAGTATATTTCTTTCTTCTTTAAAAAAAAATAGATTTTATTGATTTTTTACAGAGAGGAAGAGAGAGGGATAGTTAGAAACATTGATGAGAGAGAATCATTTATCAGCTGCCTCCTGCACACCCTCTACTGGGGATATGCCCACAACCAAGATACGTACCCCTGACCGGAATCGAACCTGGGACCTTTCAGTCCGCAGGCCAACGCTCTATCCACTGAGCCAAACCAGTTTCAGATAGTATGTTTCTTTTAAGTTTTTTTTCTTTGAGCGACTATTACAAAGTAGGGGTTTTTCACATGTTATCTCATTGAACCCTCATAACCACCTAAAGAGATGTCTTTATTTCCATTTCAGAGGTAAGGGACCTGGGGTCCAAGAAGGCTGAGGATCTTGCTCAGAACCACACAGCTAGTCAGTGAGAATTTGGGTTACCTTTACCACCCCTCGGGGAATTTCTTTCTGTTTGACTTGAGAAAAGGAGCCAATACCTTTCACCTCGGACAAGAAAGAAATATCTCATCACACATGCTTCCACGTAAATTCATTTTTTCAGCCTCGTTTTCCTAAAAAATTTAAAAACTCCCAATCCTATCTCTCCTATTCTTATGGTGTGACATCTTGAACAAGTACCCCTTTTCTCTTTTCCTATTACTTAAAATGATAAGTTTGCATGGACAAGGCTTCAAGGGCCTTTCCTTTTTTTTTTTTTTTTTTTTTTTTTTTTTTTTTGATGCCTACATTAATCCTGCGGGACATCAATATCCATTTCAGTGTAAGAATCTGAAGCTGTGAGAGGCCAATGATTTGCCCAAGGTAATACAGCGAGGGATGTAGACAGAGATGTCTGAAACCAAACGCATCCTCAGCTCAGGCAGAGGGGCTTCCGGGGTATGCCATCGCGTGGAGACCAGAATACCCTGCGGCCAAGATAGAAATAAAGGATGCTCAGCCTCAGGCGACCTTAGGCCCAGGGTCCCAGTGTAAGCCTGGAACGGTGCTGCCCTCGAGCGGCGAGACCGCGTAAGGATCGCCTCCACCCTATCCCGTTGAAAACGACGGGCACTGAGACCAGGGTGCGACCAGCTCACCTAGTTACTACAAATCGAGTTTACTTTTTGCAGGACCCACTCTAGGGTCTTTAAGCTCCACCACGCTTATCATAAAACTTTAAGACCAGTAGTGGCCGAATACAGGCAGAATGCGGAAACCTCTGCAGGTCTCAGTCTCCCCATCCGCCAAGTGGGCATCTTGAGCAGCCAGTGACCCAAGGGGGATCTGAAAGGAAGACGCTCCCTGCATTAGGGTACGTGCGTCGCCGAACAGCGTGAGTCACCACTGATGGTTGTATTTTCCATCTCACGGGCGCCCCTTCCAGGCCGCCCGGTTTCGGTGGGTCCTACAGGAAGAGCCCCGCGACGCCGGGCCGCACGCAGGCCCCGCCCTCTGCGCAGGCGCCGCGGCCCCGCCCACAGGCTCGCAGATTCGTGAGTCCGGCTCCCCAGGATTACTCAGGCCCCGATGCTCAGCCGGAAATTCTCATCGGAGCTTTGAGCCATAGCCACTTGCCTCGGGTCGGAATTGGGCAGTCCCCTGAATTGTACTAGGAAGAAAGTCCAGGGAAGTGGCTGACTTGCCTACAGGGCTTGCCTAAACAGGCACCACTTTCTTGACTTCACCAAAGCGGGTAAAGGGAGGCAAGAGCTGGGGCCAGGACCTGTGGCGAATCTGCAGCCTCCTGGACGTTTGGCCGCGCAAGAAAGGGGCAGGAAAGAGGAGCAGAGGAGCCCGCGTCTCGTCCACCCATTCGCCCCGCCTGCCTGACGAATCTGCGCCCGTTCAACGCGCCACTCAAATCTCTCCAGCTCTGGCTGGCCTCCTCCCTTCGTCCCGCCCTCTTTTCCTCCGGGATTAGTCGCTGCTTTCGTCGCCGCCGATTCGTCAACGGCCCCAGGCCAGAGCAGCTGGATAGCCGTGGTGAAGCCCACTCTGCGGGGGATGCGGCCAATCTCCAGGCTCCCTAGGCTGCAATTCTCAAGCCTCCTAGGACGCCGGCCGAGGCGAAACCGCTATCCTAGGCCCCGTTGGTCTGCCAGTGGCGCCCGTGGCGAAAGTGCGAATGTCGACGCTGTGGCTGCTGGGCCTCGCGCAGGTGGCGGTGGTGTTTGGTGCGCGCGCCGGGGAGGTGGTGGTGGGGGGGCGCCGCCGCCGCCACCGCTGCGGGGCCGGGTCTCGCTCTGCCGCCGCCGCCGCCTCGCGCCACTGAGGTGCCGCGCGGGGTGGGGGGAGGGGGAGCCGCTCGACTGGAGCGGGTGAGTGGGGCCGCGCCGCGCGTGCGCGGAGATGGGGGGGGGGCAGAACGCACCGGGGCGGGAGGAGAGGGCAGCGGTGCGCGTTCCCCTACCCCCTACCCCCCCGCCCAGATTCGGGGCCGAAGCCGGGTCTCGGGCTCGGTCTCGCGGTGTTTCCAACGCCCCGAATAGGTGCCACCTCTTGGCGAGAGGATCGGGGCGCGGGGACCCGAGCGGGTGTGTGGGAGCGGGAGCCGGGCTTGGCCCGGGCCGCTGGCCGGTGAGGAGGCGGGAGGGGGCGGGGCCTGCCAGGGGGCGGGGGAGGGGTCTTGCTCTGAGGGCAAGTGGGGCGCGCGCTGGGTAGAGCTGGGGGCACGAGATGGGCCTGGTGGTCTGAGGGCAAGAGTTGAGAGGCGGAGAGAATGTGTTGTTACGGTGATAGAGTGTACTTGGAAAATCTGGGGGAGCTGCGGGTCATAGTGAGGTGTGGAAACTGGGGGGATGAGAGACCCTGGAGCCTGGGCTAGTCGGTGAGGGGCAGCAAGGCAGTCAGGCCTAAGATCTGAACCCCCTTGTGTATTCCTCTCCTGTAACAGTGTAAATGAGCAAAGATGGATCAGGAAGGTGGGGGAGATGGGCAGAAGACCCCGAGCTTCCAGTGGCGAAACTACAAGCTCATCGTGGACCCTGCCTTGGACCCTGCCCTGCGCAGGCCTTCTCAAAAGGTGTACCGCTACGACGGAGTCCACTTCAGTGTCAACGTGAGTGCCCAGGCCTTTGCTTGCCATCTAGGAACCTCCAGGCCCGTTCTCCTGGTGGCTCTGTTCAGCACCCAGACCTTCCCTATGCAGAGCCTGCCTTCTTAAAAAGTGGTTAACCAGCACCCAGCTCTTTTGCATATGGGTCTCCAAATGGGCTTAGAGCATGGTTTCACCTTGAGCTGTCTTTCTGTTCCTGCTTTCCTTCCTAGGACTCAAAGTATATCCCAGTCGAAGACCTCCAAGACCCCCGTTGCCATGTCAGGTCCAAAAACAGAGACTTCTCCCTCCCAGTCCCTAAGTTTAAGGTATGTGTCTGCTGGTGTCTTGGAGGGGTGGCCCTTGGAGGGGGTGGAGGCTCCATCTTGGCAGTCCAGTCTTAATGTCGCTGAATAAGAGAGTTTTCCAATGCAAGGATCACGGCCACATCTAACAGGCTGTGAAGCTGAGTTGTTCTGGACAGGAACTCTATCTTCTGGAAAGGCATGGATGAGGTGTCCCAAACAGGGGTGTTGACTCCTTGAATGATATAGACGTGTTTTGCCGCTTTACTTCCCACTCTGTATTCCTAGACAGTCTATGTGTTCCTTGGCAGTGCTCTGTTCTGATACCCCAATTTCCCAACAAATAAGGGAGTGATAAGGTCAGGGACTCCATCCCTGAAATCCTCCGTTCCTCACCTCTCCTTGGGCCATTTGATCCTCCATTTTATGCCAGAGGATGCCCCTGTCTCTTTCCAGGCAGGGTACTGAACAGGCCTTGGGCTGGGCCTAGAAAACTGGTGGTTCTTGGTTTCTCTCACTAATTCTTTATTCACTTTTAAATGAATCATTTGTGGGGTGCCCTTGCCCCTTTTTTCACTTTGTACACTTTCCCTGGACAATCTCTTTCACATCCGTTACTTTGACTATTACCAAAATGCTCATGACTTCTAAATCTCTGTTTCTAGCCAAGATCAGTCTCGAACTTCAAACGTGTATGCCTGATAGTGGGAAGCTCCATCTGGATGCCCCACAAACATCTCAGATGCAAGACATTCAAAACAAATGATCTTTACCCCTTTAATCCTGCTCTCCCCCCATTTACTTAGCTGCCCAAGCTGGAAACCCAGCAGGCATCCTATGATTGATTCTCCTTTCCTTTATCGCATAATCTGTTGCAAAGTTCTGCTAACCCTTTTTCCTAAACCATTTTATGTTAATTATTCTATTCCCATTGCCATATCTTTAATACATACTCTTGTATTCATTTCACCTGGTTTCCTTGCTTCTATTCTCTTCACTTAATGTTCCACCCTGCTGTCATTGTCGCTTTAATTTTACTCTTATTTTACTTTTGTTGCCAAGTCCATGTTTTTGTGCATTGACATTTAAGATTGTTGAGCTGGTCAAGCCTCATCTCCTGATTGATACTGCTCACCTGTGTTCCATCCTCTATACACTCAGTTTCTAGGAAATGCTGTTATTTCATAATGTCACATAATTACAGCAAGTCCTTGTAATTTTGGTGAACTCCTATGTATCCCAAAAGCCCAATATGAATGACACCATCTGTATGAATGCTTCCCTGCCTTGTCTCTGAACAAAGTTTCTTTTTCTGGGCTCCCAAACACCTCTGTACACCTCTGCCGACACTTACTGCCATGTCATAACTGTATGTGTCTCTGTCTTGTCTGTTTTTCTGACCAGTAATCTCCTTTTTTTTCATCTCTATATTCCCAGTGCCCAGTCTATCCATGGTAATTACTTAGTAAAAGCTGAGTTAGTGAGATTTCTTTACATCTAGTTTCTTGCATGTGTGTTTATTTCTCAGTTCATACCTTTCTTTTCCTGGTTCTTGCCATTATTCCATGATGAAAAGAATTTGAGAGAGAGAGGGGTCTCTCTCCTGTTGTCCCTTGTTGGGGTCCCTTGCCCTTTCCTCTTATTTCCCAGTCCTATCTCTCTTAATCCCATGGATCTCTCTAAAGTTCCCCAAAGGAAAAAGTATTACTACCCCAGACTTAGCGCTTGTCCTCTCCACAGCTGGATGAGTTCTATATTGGACAGATCCCTCTGAAGGAAGTGACTTTTGCAAGACTGAATGACAACGTGCGGGAGACCTTCCTGAAGGATATGTGCCGGAAGTATGGCGAGGTGGAAGAGGTGGAGATCCTTCTTCACCCCCGTACTCGCAAGCACCTGGGCCTGGCCCGAGTGCTCTTCACCAGCACTCGAGGAGCCAAGGAAACGGTCAAAAACCTCCACCTTACCTCCGTCATGGGCAACATCATCCACGCCCAGCTCGACATCAAAGGTAAGGGTGCCCTGCCTGCGGCCAAGGCTGGGCTCTGGCAGAGATTGTACCTGTGGATGCCGGTTGGAATCAGGCATGTGAGCAGGTTCATGACTGCATCTGAAACTCGTGGGGCCAGATGGGTTTCTGAAGTCAGAATTTTACAAACGGATTATGGGACTCATATTTTGTGTATGTATTCAGCATCATTGGGGCTATATTAGCTTATGGCTATTTTTATAAGAAAGTGTATGAAGGGTCACAGTAGGTTGGATAAATAAAAACAAAAAGTAAATAGCCCTGGCTGGCTCAGCTCAGTGCAGGGGTCTCAGATTTGATTACCGGTCAGTGGCATGTACCTCAGGGCATGTGTGCGAGGCAACCAGTCGACATATCTCTCTCACATCTCTCTCTCTTCTCTTCTCTTCTCTTCTCTTCTCTTCTCTTCTCTTCTCTTCATCTTTCTCTCTTTCTACCTCCCCCCTTTTCACTATCTTTGAAAAAATCAGTGGCAAAAATATCCTCAGGTGAGGATTAAAAAACAAACTAGAGTAAATAACTTCAGCTCAGGTTTTGACACTAAATTCCCCAAAATACTAGGTTTTGAAACTTTGGACGGAGAGTTAGAGACCTGTGTATTGCTGACAGGTGAGTGGAGGAGCAGTCTGTGTTAGGGATAACAGGGAAGGGTAGGGGCTGTGGTGTACTGTAGCACAGTGCCATCTAAAGGAGGCAGCTGTGGGCATTAGCCAGTTTGCAAGTGGGATAGAGGACTAATATTGCCAAATAATCTGTTTGTGTGTTTTTTGTTTTTTTGAAGCAAGAAATCAAGGTTGTTGTTTTTTGTTTTTTTTATCAGATCTCATGATTTAAAAATTTTACATCCCTCTACCCCCCCAAAATTTAAGTGATTATGTAAGGCCAATAAAATTTTGTTTTTGCAACCCTGAGTTTATAGGATGAAGAATATGATAGGTTCTAGCATTCAATTACCTGGGTCTGAATTAGAGTTCTGCTACTCACTGACTCTGTGCAGGCCAGTTTTCTTTAAGCCCGTTAAGTAAGTGTCCTGATGCTTTTCCCTCTGCTGATCATTCAGTGCAGTAATTCACGTAGAAGAAACTCGAAGAGTTGTACTCTATGTCGTTTGTAGTAGTTGTTACGTGGAGATGAGGTAGAAGGTCCCAGATACAGAGAGAGGGCAGAAGAATTGAAGTCCCAAACCCAGGATCAGCTTGAGGCCTGAGGAATAAGTGGGAAAACCATGTTAGGAAGGAGTTGTTTTCTCTGTCTGACTCTGCTGGTTCCCATTTTTCTCCTCATAGGACAACAGCGAATGAAGTACTATGAACTGATTGTCAATGGCTCCTACACCCCTCAGACAGTGCCCACTGGGGGCAAGGCCCTGAGTGAGAAGTTCCAGGGCCCTGGTGCAGCCACTGAGACGGTGAGAAGCTTGTGGTTGCCATAGCCCTGGCCATGTGGGCACAGTTCTTGAGTACCAGGACCAGTCTTTGGAAGGCTCTGGGCTTCACGTTAAGTTTAGGAAGAGCCAAGAAAAGATGCCTCGATGCTTTCCAATGACAGGGAACTGGGATTCAGAGTTTGGGGAAGGGTGAATTGTTAAATGGTAATTGATCTTTTTTCCTTTCTCCCTACTCCACTCTCCCCTTCCAGACTGAATCCCGCCGCCGCTCCTCCTCGGACACGGCTGCCTACCCAGCAGGCACTGCTGTGGTGGGCACTCCAGGCAATGGCACCCCCTGCTCCCAGGACACAAGCTTCTCCGGCAGCCGGCAAGACACCCCATCTTCCTTCGGCCAGTTCACCCCTCAGTCCTCCCAAGGAACCCCCTACACCTCTCGGGGCAGCACCCCCTACTCTCAGGACTCTGCCTACTCCAGCAGGTACAGGGTAAACACCCTTTGGGACCCCAGATTCCGGGAGCTGCCACTGAAAGAGGAAACCAGTAAGGAAAGGGAGTTGGGAAGAATTTGTCCCTGTTTTCAGGGAACTCACTCTAGCTAAAAACCCAGCAGCATTTCCATCTTCCTTTGGGGCAGCGTAAAAGGGCTTGGGACTGGGAATTGGGACCCGAGGGTTTGGTCATACGGAGCTAAGCCAGCTAACTCTTGCATCTTTTCTCCAGCACCACTTCCACCTCCTTCAAGCCCCGGCGGGCAGAGAACAGCTACCAGGATTCCTTTTCCCGCCGCCACTTCTCTGCCTCTTCAGCCCCCACGACCACCGCTGCAGCCATCTCTGCCACCACTGCAGCCACCGCCACATCCTCCACCTCTTCCTCCTCATTGTCCTCGTCCTCCTCTTCCTCATCCTCCCATTTTCGTGGTTCTGACTCAAACTACCCGGCATATTATGAAAGCTGGAATCGCTACCAACGCCATTCTTCCTACCCACCCCGCCGGGCAACTCGGGAGGAGCCCCCCGGGGCACCTTTTGCTGAAAATACAGCTGAGCGCTTCCCACCTTCCTACACCTCCTATTTGCCCCCTGAACCCAGCCGCCCCGCTGACCAGGATTACCGGCCTCCTGCCTCAGAGGCTCCGCCCCCGGAACCCCCAGAACCTGGTGGAGGGGGTGGTGCCGGGGGGCCCAGCCCTGAGAGAGAAGAAGCTCGGACCTCCCCCCGCCCAGCTTCGCCCGCCCGCTCCGGCTCCCCAGCCCCAGAGACCACCAACGAGAGCGTGCCCTTTGCTCAGCACAGCAGCCTGGACTCCCGCATTGAGATGCTGCTGAAGGAGCAGCGCTCCAAGTTTTCTTTCCTGGCTTCTGACACAGAGGAAGAGGAAGAGAACGCCGCCGCAGGCCCTGGGGCGAGGGACACAGGGATTGAGGTGCCTTCTGGTTCAGGTCACGGGCCCTGCACGCCGCCTCCAGCCCCCGCTAATTTTGAGGATGTGGCGCCTGCAGGGAGCGGGGACTCAGGGGCCACCCGGGAGTCTCCCAAGGCCAACGGACAGAACCAGGTGAGTTGGGCTCAGCCAGCGGAGGTACCTGGGTCAGGGGGGCAGGGTTGAGCCCAGAGGGGGAGGGAAGGGAACTAGATGAGAACAGATTTGAGAAGCAGCCCAGGGAACAGGCAGAAGCTTTCTGTGACCCTCCTCTGCACCCCACAGGCTTCTCCGTGCTCTTCTGGAGAGGACATGGAGATCTCCGATGACGACAGGGGCGGCTCACCCCCTCCGGCCCCAACGCCCCCCCAACAGCCTCCCCCTCCTCCCCCGCCGCCCCCTCCTCCTCCTCCCTACCTGGCTTCCCTTCCCCTTGGCTATCCCCACCAGCCTGCCTACCTCCTCCCACCCCGACCTGATGGGCCACCGCCCCCTGAGTACCCCCCACCTCCTCCGCCACCCCCCCACATCTATGACTTTGTGAACTCCCTAGAGCTCATGGATCGACTCGGGGCTCAGTGGGGAGGAATGCCCATGTCCTTCCAGATGCAGACCCAGATGTTAACTCGGCTCCACCAGCTGCGGCAGGGCAAGGGCTTGACTGCTGCCTCGGCAGGTCCCCACGGCGGGGCCTTCGGGGAGGCCTTCCTCCCGTTCCCGCCCCCTCAGGAGGCGGCCTACGGCCTGCCCTACGCTCTGTACACACAAGGGCAGGACGGCCGAGGGGCGTACTCCCGGGAGGCTTACCACCTGCCTCTGCCCATGGCCACTGAGCCCCTGCTCTCCTCTTCAGTCTCGGGAGAGGAGGCCCGACTACCTCCAAGGGAGGAAGCAGAGCTGGCGGAGGGCAAGGCCCTGCCGTCAGCAGGCACTGTGGGCCGTGTGCTGGCCACCCTTGTCCAGGAGATGAAGAGCATCATGCAGCGAGACCTCAACCGCAAGATGGTGGAAAACGTGGCCTTTGGAGCCTTTGACCAGTGGTGGGAGAGCAAGGAAGAGAAGGCCAAGGTCAGGGCCAGGGCCTGGGCCTGGGGGAACTGGGGACTCCTTGAGGGAAATAAACCTCTTGCTTCTCCAAGCTACCCAGCTCAAAATAGGAGGGTGATCAAGGCACGTAGACTGTCCTGGGACACTGGTCGGACAGGGAATTGGGCCGGGAGAGCAGTAGGAAAGCCTGAGCCTGAGAGTGAGGAACAAGGCCCTTCAGTATCTGGACTTCAGTCTTCAGTGTCCTGCACTGTGAAGGGGGAAGGATAGTGCCGCTTCCTGAGATTGATGGGACTGAGTGAGCGGCTTCTGAGGCAGTACTCCACCGGGATCGGACGGAGGAGAGAGTAGATGCAGCCTGTTTTCCTGGGGCCCGGGAGTAATTCCAGGCAGGAGACGGGAGGGAGCACCTGGGTTCTGAGGCTCAGTCCCCTCTGCCTGCAGCCATTCCAGAACGCAGCCAAACAGCAAGCCAAGGAGGAAGATAAAGAGAAGACGAAGCTTAAAGAGCCCGGCCTGCTGTCCCTCGTAGACTGGGCGAAGAGTGGGGGTACCACAGGCATCGAGGCCTTCGCCTTTGGGTCAGGACTGCGAGGGGCCCTGCGGCTGCCTTCTTTCAAGGTACCCAGAACTGGGGTCTTGCCTAGTAGGAGGGGACAGGGCATCCTCCTTCCTTGGGTACAAGTTTTGAGGTCTAAATGGACTCTGTCTCTTCCCACCCCCAGGTAAAACGAAAAGAGCCTTCAGAAATTTCAGAGGCCAGCGAGGAAAAGAGGCCCCGGCCTTCCACTCCAGCTGAGGAAGATGAAGATGGTGAGTGGAAAGGTTGGGTAGAAGGAGAAAAGGGAAAGGTTATTAGATTCTGACAGGAAAGCAAGAGGCAGGGTTAACGGTGTCTTAAAGGCAAAGAGCCAAGTGGATATTTTGGTAGAGGGTTAAAAGAAAGTGGTTTTGTCCTAACCAGTTTGGCTAGGTGGATGGAGAATCGGCCTGTGGACTGAAGAGTCCCAGGTTCGATTCTGGTCAAGGGCATGTACCTTGGTTGCATGCACATTCCCAGTAGGGGGTGTTGCAGGAGGCAGCTGATTGATGTTTCTCTCTCATCAATGTTTCTAACTCTCTGTCCCTCTCCTTTCCTCTCTGTAAAAAAATCAATAAAATAGATTTTTTAAAAATAAAAGTAAATAAAGCAGTTTTGAGAGTGGTAAAAAGCTTCAGATGCGACCATGCTGGATTTTAGTTATGGTTTTTACACTGGTATGTTGATTTACATTTTCTGTATTTTAATTTTCCTTTTATAAAATGGAAATAATAACATTCACCTCTAAAGATCATAGAATTTCAAGGTTAAATAGGTTAAGCTCTATGCCTTCTACCAGTTTGTCTAAGTTTAAGTGTTGGTTGACAGCTTGTGTCTAGAAAACTTCCTTATTGAGTCCGATCTGCTTCCCTGGAAACCCATTGGCCTTAGCAGTATTTCTTGGGCCAGGCATCTGCCTCTTCCATCCCACCCAGAGAACAGTGAGCGATAAATGAGTGTGATATGTTTAAACTGGAAAATAGAAGGTATTGCTGAGGGCCTCTTGTCTGTAAAACGAGGTCTGTCTGTGGGGTTGGGAGGAAGATCAGCGACAGTGTGTGCACAGCTCCTTTCACGGGGTCGAGAAATGGTAACTTACTGCTGATGACAACTTGTCCTAACTGCCACTCACCCGCCTAGATCCTGAGCGAGAGAAGGAGGCTGGAGAGGCAGGACGTCCAGGGACCAAGCCCCAAAAGCGCGATGAAGAGCGAAGCAAGACCCAGGGCAAGCACCGCAAGTCCTTTGCTCTGGACAGCGAGGGGGAGGAAGCATCCCAGGAGTCCTCCTCAGAGAAGGTGAGGAGCCAGGGCACCCGGTCCCTGCCCGGAGCCTACTTCCTGTGGTGCTGTGCCCAGGCCACTTCCCTCCGGGCTGGAACCCAGGTGGTGTGCCTTATAGGGGACCAGATGCCCTTTTCCTGTTAGTCCCTATTTATCCCTTTCCTTGAGGAGGACGAGGAGGAGGAGGAAGATGAGGAAGATGACGATCATGAGGAAGCCATGGATACTGCAAAGAAGGAGGCAGAGGCATCAGATGGTAAGCACAGACAGGAGAGTAGAATTCTGGCTTGGGGAGAAAGGGGTTCGGCCACCGGCCTCATCCTATTCTGAACCCACGTGTTGCTGCTGGATTTGTTGGCCACCGTTGTCCTCCCCAAAAACAACTCTTTCAGCTCTATCCTTTGGCACCCTTAGCTCATGTAAACAACGACCCCAAAACCCAGAATGTTCCCTCCTGCTTACTCCGCTGCTGAAACAAGGCTTCCCCTGAAGACAGCCAGCAGAGCCTCTCTCTCCCCCAGGCCCTGGAAATAAGAGTGCGTTCTCTGGCTGCTCTTGGTGCTGCCGGAGCCAGCCTTTCCGTCTGTGAGCGCTGCCCTTCCTTTACGGCCCCGCTCTTCCCCTGCCGCTGCCATTACCAGACGCCGTTGTGCTCTTTGGTTGAACACTTGTTCGTTCCTCCACATTTATTGAGGCGTGGGTACATGGTTTAGTCTTTCTTTTCGTTCCTTTGTTTAGAAATATATAGGGTAGGGGGAAAGTCAGGATTACAGTTGTCTGTACAGAAAGTAATGCAAAAGAATAATAAAAGAATAAACTGTGTTTCACATTCTCGCAACTTGTAAACCTACTTTTGCTCCACCCTGTATATTAAGCCCCTGTTCTGCCAGGCACTGTTGTAGGTGTTGGGGACACCCCAGTGACCAGGACAGATGGGATTTCTGCTTTCGAGGTGCTCATGATCAGTTGATGACAAACAAGTAAACAGTTTTTGAGATACAGATGTGTGTTTTGAAGAAGATATAGAATAGGTGAATGAGGCAGAGAGTAGCGGGCGGGAGAGCTGGGGAAAGATGGACTGTTCAGGTCTGATGGTGCCATTTCTGCAGAGGCCAGAACGGGAGACTGGTGGTCCGAGAGCCTCTGCTCGGTGAAGTTCGGGCCGAGCTCCCGGCCGGGAGCGGTGTGTGCGGCGGGGAGCGGAGTGTGCGGCCGGGAGCGGTGTGTGCGGCCGGGAGCGGTGTGTGCGGCCCTGCACATCCGCTCGGGCTAGACATCCCCCAGTTTCTTGAATTGTCGCCTGAGATCCTGCCCCTCTCACTTAGGGGCTCCAACTGTTTTGAATGGTTTTCTTGTCTCCATTTCCATTCTTCCCTCCATTCCCGCCTTTTTCCAGCCTATTGATGGAAATTGTCGTCCCTAAGTGCACACTGGACTCTCTGTAAAGTCTTTTCCTGGCTCCCTGTTTTCCACAAGGTCACTCCTCAGCCTGACACTTTAGGTCATTCATAATCCCGCTCTTGCTTATCTGTTTGGGATCATCTTGTCATCTTCCAGACCCTCCCTGGCCACCAGTACCTTCTATTCTAGTTTA